AGAGATTTAATGTCTTCTTTTCTCTTGAGGTGATTTCATCTAAGACTGTGTCTAAAGTCGGTTGTAGAGTTTCTGCTCGTCTCTTTTTCCATTCTCTTCTTTCCTTCAGTGATTCTGCTTGTTAACAGGCTTATTAAGGTTGAGATGACTCCATGTTTAATATACACAGATTTTGTGGCTCAGATAAAGTCCAGTTCTGGTTTATTTCTTTGCTCTTGGCTGACATGTGGCATTTCTATGGCCTGCTTGTGGCCCACATCTGGCAAACAGGAGTGGGCCATCCAAGGGCCGTCATTCATTGCTGCATGTGGGCCAGATCCGCATCCCACAAGTGCCAGATATGGGCCGGATCTGGGCCGAAACAATGTTGCTATGTGGGAACTTTATTCTAGAGCTGCTAAAGCCAAAACAATCTTTTGTTTGTTTCCGATATCCCAATCTATATTGTTAAAAGCGCTATATAAATGAAGGTGACTTGACTTGAGAGTCATGGAAATGCTATGATGGATTTTTTTTTTTTTTTTTTGCTAAATGGTAATTAGAAAATTATCGATGCTGTAGTAGTCTACCGTTCACCACAAGAAGTTTAGCAAACTATGATGACATCTGCTTCAGAGAACCCTGGAAATGTAAAAAGGGCACATTGACTAAAAGCTCAAATTCAGATTTGCCTCTGTGGGTTATGGGTAATGAACTCCAAGATGAAAATGGCAATGAACAAGTCAAATGGACTGCCCTCTGGTGGCTTTCAAGGGCACTCCAACACAGGACCATAACAATTGCTATAGACCTTTTTCACAAAAACCGGAAATACGTAATCGTTGTGGAAACGGAGTTCGCGTCAACTGTCGACACATTAGAAAAACCTACTCTGGGAGGAGAAAATTGATCAGAGAGTCTTCAAAACTTCGAAAAAATGTAAACTTGTCATGGTCCAGTTGTTGATGACTTTGTAAAACGCTTGTCTGCAGCTGATGTATCTAAGACCAAAGATATGACTATTGATTTCAGAACTGAAGCTCATTCTTCCCAATATACGTTCATTAAAGGTAAGAAGGTGGAGTGTGTGGAAAGTTATTCATATTTAGGGAGTATTATTTACAATAAACTGCATTTTGATGTGAATACCAGAAATAAGTCTGTCAGTTTTATTCAACAGTTATCCTGAATTTTTTGCACTGCTGTTGCTATAGAACGATCAAAGATGAAGAAAAATTATACAAATATTAATTTATTCCTTGTACACTCAGATTGTTAAATACTCAGAATGGTATATATTAACAATTTAAATTTATATGTAGCCCACTGTTGTGTGTTCTTATTTATCTTGTTTTATATTGTGGTGTATATTTTATGTGCTTATTCCGCTGGATACAAATATCTTAATAAAGTTGAACATGAACTAACGTTACTTCAAAAATACGCAAATCATAAAACATAAAAAATAAACAAACAATGACGGCTTATTAGTGAATGGTGACATGAGAAGTACAGAAGATCACAGGATCAATAACATCCCGCCAGATTGCCTGAATCCAGTTCCTTCGAACTTCATAGACAGGGAACTGACGAGGGAAGGAATGAAAACGACAGGTATGGCTGCTTTTGGGAATAACCAAAAAGATCGGTACGCAACAACTCTCACTAGTTGCCTTCGGCGCTATCTGTTATGAATGGAGCGGAAGAAGATTACCACGACAATTGCGTATTTCCGGTCACAAATACGGAAGTTGTGAGAAAGGTCTATTATGTCAGCAACCCCTCCCCTTACCAATGCTTGCTGTGCATACCTGCTGTATGTTACCGATCCCTATAGAAATGCATGGTTAAATTAGTGATGATTCATATAATAGTTAAAGTCTATTTGTAAGGAGTTGATTAGAAATGCAATGCCGAGAACACAAGAATCCAAATGATTTTTTTTTAGATTTGACATGTAATCCTTTGCAGGAAAATTCAGAGCTTATACTGCACATTATTTTTTACTGCACAGTAATGTTTCCTTTATAGTGAAATGACTTCTGGTCAAATGCTTTAGACTTTTTAGACTTTAACCTTTTATTGTTATAGGGACAATTCTGCATGGAAATAACCACCACATACAAAACAAACAGTTACACAACTTCAATAATGTATTAAGAAAGTAAATAAAATAAAATAAAAAAGATTTAATGATGTGCACGTCCATGCTTCTGTTTTTGGAACCAAACGTTATCCGTTTACTTATGTTGCATAACCTGCTTTCTGGAATATACAAGTAAAGGATTCAAATATTTAAGGATGATGAAAAAAAAACAAACACAGTTTTGCTTTTTATAAAATAACTGTATGTCATCCATAGCAGGCTAGTTATAAACATGTAGTTTATTCATTAAGTTTTTTGAACATCATATTTATATTTCGGTTACATCGCATTGCTCGGTAAATGTGTGTAATCTTTTTGATTATCAGATAGCAGTAATGTTAATACATTTTTGAGAGCCTCGTTGCTTAAGAAAGCTTTAATTACAAATAATCCTGCGGTACCTGAGGCAGCACAGCAGTGTCATGACCACATTTGGCCTTGGTTTTCTGTGACAGACTCATTTTTTCTCTATGAGAAGAACCGAAACAAACACGTGCAAAGAGTAGACCTATGGAAACTGTTCAATTGTTTATTTTTATTAACTTTTTACATTATTTTTTAACATAAGAGTGGGCACGGTCATTTTAAAATAGAATGTGTTAGGCTTTGTAATTGAATATGTCGCTTGCTATTGCAAACTGGTATCTGTTATATTATTTTAATTTATTATCATAATCATAAACCGAATAGTTTGTAGAAATAAAATTCTGCACTTACTGTACTTTTTCTTCTAGTTATTTTCCTATAGCAAATAATGAAACAGTCTCTTACAAATACCCCTGTTCACGTCACTTCCTCCGAGCCAGTGTCTACGGACAAGATGGCCGCCTCCGAGCCAGTGTCTCGGCCCGAGGGGTTGGAGAGGTAGAGAGGGATGTTATCACGACCAACATGCCCACTGAGCCCGCACCGCTGTTCCACGTCAGCCCTGCCGAGCCTGTGCTCTACGTCAGCCACGTCCAGCCAGAGCTTCACGTCCAGCCAGAGGCGTTCCACGTCACTTCTGCCGAGCCAGAGATGCTCCACGTCACTTCTGCTTATCCAGAGACTGTTCACGTCACTTCCTGCGAGCCAGTGTCTATGGACAAGATGGCCGTCTCCGAGCTAGTGTCTGCGGACAAGATGTCCGCCTCCGAGCCAGTGTCTGCGGACAAGATGTCCGCCTCCGAGCCAGTGTCTGCGGACAAGATGTCCGCCTCCGAGCCAGTGTCTGCGGACAAAATGGCCGCCTCCGAGCCAGTGTCTGCGGACAAGATGGCCGAACCAGAGACTCTTCACTATCTCCGAGCCAGAGTCTATAGACAAGATGGCTGATTCAGAGACTGTTCACGTCACTTCCTCCGAGCCAGTGTCTACGGACAGGATGGCCGCCTCCGAGCCAGAGTCTGTTCCTGTTCCCGAGCCAGAGTCTCGTCCCGCCGAGACCGCCCAGCCAGAGTCTCGTCCCACCGAGACCGCCCAGCCAGAGACTGTTCGTGCCCCGTCTGCCCTTAATCCGGGGATTCACCCCAAATATTTTTTGGGGGGGGACCCAATGTCCCAGCCACGGCCGCCCGAAGGGTCTTCACCGCTGCGGCCGCCCGAGGGGTCTTCACCGCCCTGGTCTCCTGCACAGCCTGCTCCACCCTGGTCTCCTGCACAGCCTGCTACGCCCTTGTCTCCTGCACAGCCTGATCCGCTCTGCTCCTCTTCTGCTCCACGGACCTGGACCTCTATCCCGCCCTCCAGATCCGCCTCTGCTCCACCTCCCACCTGGACAGTTTTTTTTTGTTTTTGTTTTTTGTTGGGGGAGGGCTATGTCACGATTCATGTTTGTGGCTCCCTGTCCTTTCATGTTCAGCTGTTTCCCGTTTTGTTGATTAGTCTCCCCAGGTGTTTCTGATTAGCCCTGCCCCCTTGTTACCTTGTTTAGCCTGTTTGTCTGTGTATTTATAGCCCTTGTGTTTCACTTGTTACTTTGTCAGATGTTGTACATGTTATGGTTGCTTTCGTTCCTCGTAGTTTTGTTCCTTTGTTCTGTTTTATTCTGTTATTGTTTCATTAAAATTGTAAAAACTGCATGTAGATCCTCACCTTCGCCTTCGTTCCTCTGCACGTAACAATGCTGTATTATTCTTAGTTCGACTAAAACCACTACATGGCCTAACCTATTATTAGATTATATTACAAACAGATTTACTTTTACTTTCAGTAACAATAATACTTCTCCACTCAATCGTCACATAATCATCATACTTTTTTATTATCATTAATGAATGGCATCATCTAGGTATAGGTTTCAAACAGCAACCTACACCATGCATGATGAAAGAAAACAATTGTACAATCAAAGATTAAATCAGGGTATGCATATATGAGATCACAGCCCATTCTCACCCCCAAGGCGTCACTTAACTGACGCCTTGGGAAGCATTTGGACATGCTTCAATATCTGACGCTTTAGGCGCCCTTTAGCGTCAGTTAGATGACGCCCTAGGATCGCGTGTACCCTACCCCCACCCCACACCTAAACCTAACCGCGTCCTCTAACTGACGCTTTCCTTTAGCGTCAGTTAGATGACGCCGTAGGATCGCGTCATGTAAGTGACGCTAAAGGGCGCCTAAAACGTCAAATATTGAAGCATGGTCAAAGGTGACGCCTTGGGGTGAGAATGTGTTGGAGATCAACTACAGAAAGAATACAATCAGCAATCAAATGAGTTCAGTACTGTCACCCATCTTTCCAAAGTGTTCAGTGTGTGGTGATATCTTATCTGTATTCATAACCTCATGATGCATCAACAAGTTGAAATACACTCCATAGGGATGTACAGTACTATGACATCTGTGCAAATATGGTGGATCACTGTTCGATCATCCAAGGTCAACTCATCTCAATGGAAGAAAATCAAAATCAACAATGAACAACCTGCTCAAAAAGTAATCTAATTATGTTATTTGAATTACTTGTAAAGCGTTACCAGCAAAACTAGATTTTGCTTGTAAAATTTTAATTACAGAGATCTCTAATTGGAATGTTCACTAGTAAACATTACTGACTATACTGAGAACATCAAAAGATAATTTGGCCTTTCATAGTCACGTAGCTTTTCAGTCATGGGGCAGCACTGAAGCATTTTTTCTCTATACATCTTTTTGTGTGTGGGAGAAAGAGCTCAAAGTATATTTATGAAGAAAAAAAAAGATTGTCAAATTTACTTTACAAATTAAATTTACATTTGTTTGAGTGTGTGTGTGTGTGTAAGCTTTATTGAGCTCATGACAGGTATACAAGCTGTCACAGAAATAAATACCTTTTTATGTTTTTGTTTTTATACTCTAGCTCTTACCTGTCTCTTCTTAAAAGTCATTAAATTTTACATTAATTAAACAGTGCTCAGTTATTAATAAATAGTCTGTCAAAATTTGAGAATCCCATCTTCTTTTTTATATGTCATTCTTTTTGACACATTTCACACAGTATTTTGGCTGTTTGTGATATTCAAACTTTTTTTTTTTAAAAAAATGTTATACTTTATTAATCTTGGCTGTTGACATCCTGCTGCGTCATTATCTCTGGTTCTTCTTCAAATGCTTGGTTCTCATAAATGTATTGTGTCTGGATATCCGGGTCATAATACACACGGTCTGAAGAATGTCCAAGATCTGCTGTCATAAAGAAAAATCAATAACTAGCCATCAGTTTACACCATATACTGTATACAGATTATTCCAGCATGACATTGATAATGACAAAGGGCATAGGTTACTGCTGAATTTATGTATTCATTTATTGTGTTTAATTTTATTCATTATTCTGAACCAGTATATCACCTTTACAATATTTTTTTTAGTGTTGCTGCTTAATTGTGTGTTTCTCTGGAATTTGGATTTCTAATTTTATTGTCTTTTTCTATATTTGGTTACTGTTTGGTATCATGCTCCTTTGGTTTCAAGCATCAGTACTCAATAGAAAGTGTTGCTGAGTCTCCAGCTGAGTAGATGAGATGTAGATATTGGATTGGAAAATTTAAGATTTAAAATTTCGATTAGGACATTTAAGTAGCTTTTATAAACAATGGCAAGATGCTTTCAGTTAAAACAGCTCAAACATGCATTTTAGTCGCTCAAGCCTCATCTGTGAAACCAGGGGTCAAAGTTAAGATTAGAACACTGCACTATTTGATGAGAACTAAACTGAGCTGGACGATAGCATCACTATTCCCTTTCAAAGGCATGGTTTTGACACCATAGGAATACTCCTCGTGAACCAGTGTCTGAAGGACGTGTGCCAAACGCCTTTCTTAATTTCCCGCCGGCTGGCTATATAAGGGGTGCCAGAGAACACGTCATCAGCCTCTTAATCTTCAGGAATCCAATTGTTTGTGTGTGTATCTCAAAGAAAAAGAAAGGAAACAAAATGAACGAACGCAGGTTTTAAAAATGCAGCCCATTCTCACCCCCAAGGCGTCACTTAACTGACGCCTTGGGAAGCATTTGGACATGCTTCAATATCTGACGCTTTAGGCGCCCTTTAGCGTCAGTTAGATGACGCCCTAGGATCGCGTGTACCCTACCCCCACCCCACACCTAAACCTAACCGCGTCCTCTAACTGACGCTTTCCTTTAGCGTCAGTTAGATGACGCCGTAGGATCGCGTCATGTAAGTGACGCTAAAGGGCGCCTAAAACGTTAAATATTGAAGCATGGTCAAAGGTGACGCCTTGGGGTGAGAATGCGTTGAAAAATGTGTGCCCGCATGTGAGAGATATATCACACCAAACGACATGCATGATTTGTATGTGATATGTCTAAGAACAGAGCATGCATGGTCAGATGTTGAGGTAGCTTCGTTCGCGACTGGCTGTATTAACGGGGAAAGGGAGCAGGACCCACTGCTGTCGAGGCAGTGCAGTATTTAGCAAGTGGGGCTCACAGATTCCCTTTCCCAATCCTCTGTCAGCAGTTTTGAGGCTCTTGTGCCGAATCCTAATGCCTGCTCTCTGGCTTATGGTTTGGCGAAGAGTATGCTGCATGGCCGCTCTAGTTCAGAGAAATTAGACATAATGGGAGTTGAGGCGAATTTATTATATGAGCCAGCCTCCTCATCATCAACCGCATACAGGGAATTACTACACGTGACAATTTCTACCCGCTATGCCACTGGCTGCTCGCTTGTTGCTTTTGTCTCAAATGTTAACATTTATGGCTTAACCTTTCGGAGCTAAAGGAGAAGGAGAGATCATTCCTCCTTGACGCCCCGGTTGTGTCTTCCAAATTTTTTGGCACCGCTGTTAAGAATGTGGTCCGGATATTTAGGGAGGCGAGGGTTAAGTTGTCAGCGTTCAAGTGGTACTGTACTTTCCCCGCCACAGGCAATGTCCTTAAGTTCCCCCTTCTTAGCCTGTCGCTGGGTCCAGTTGGTGACAGGAGCAGAAAGTGAGTGTGGCCGCTACAGCTCCACCTTAGAGAGGTCAGGATCCAGGTGGCAACCTTGCTCAAGAACAAGTAAGGACAGATATTCAACTCTAAGAAGAAAGAGAGGTCTAAATGCTAAGAGTCCTTTTCTGCCTTTTTCTTAACCTCTTTTTCTTTTAATCCCCTTTTCTTTTTTCCCCTCCCCACCCCTTTCTGGGTGTTGGGGTTCAAGAGGTTGTTTAAAAAGAGAGAAAGAGTGTAAGGGAAAGCAGCATTTTTATTCCCTTAAAAAGAAAAATATTAAAAGACAGGGGTCTGTGTTGGTTCTGAGTACAGTTAAAAATATTTTCTTCTAAAATGAATGATGGATGATATCACTGTGTCTTCACAAATAAAGAGTACATAAACAGGTTTAGTTTACATCCATCCCCAGCCATTGCATTATGTCAGGGGAATGATAAAAGGTTATTGGCGATTGTAATCTTTTTGCTGTCACTTCCCAGTATGGGGTCGTATGCTGTTTCATGTACAATAGACACCCAATGGAGCTTTGACCCAGTGACGAAGTTGTTTGCTTCCCCTACACTTTTTGCTATAATGATTAATGATTACTGATCGATCCCTAACAGTATCTTGCTCCGTGGCACTAATGACTGTGCAATGCTAGACGAAGAGATCTGGGCACTCTTTTTCAGGCAGTTTTTCTGAGATTATACAGTGATAAGAAGTTTGTTTACTCCTTTTGCACAGGGGCAAGTGCACATAGGCTTAGATAACATCAGATAAGAAGATGAGAAATATCTTTGACGGACTTAGAGGGTAAGATAGGCTATTCCGCCTCTCACATCCACCCTTTTTCACTGACCACTGTTACAGAAGGTAGGCTGGTATAGACTGGGTAAGAAGTTGGTATCGCCTCTTGAGTCCCACCTCTTCACCTATCACCACCTCATCGGTTGTCTCTTCGGGTTGAGCTCCCTTATTAGGGAATGGCCAAGTTAACCCTTAACATGGTTAGAAGGCACTTATGTGCTCACTGAGGAAGAGAAGGAGGATGTGTAAACTACAGAGGCACTCCATCCTCTCACCATATATTTCAGGAAGTACTTGCGAGCTCTCTTGTAAGCTATTCGGTTGACCAAGTACCACTCTATCGCCATCAGTGGGGTCGCCATCTCACTAAGGGTGGCGAGAGGTAATATTGGAGGGATCGACTTGAGTGCACCAGGGGTGATAAGCTCTCTGGTCAGCAGGTGCGTTGTGTGGCACCATCTTGGCTACTGCTAAGAGCTCGCTGGGAGACTTACAGCCACTGATGGGCAGTAACGCGTTAGAAGTAACGCGTTACTGTAATCCAATTACTTTTTTCTAGTAACGAGTAAAGTAAGGGATTACAATTGAAAAAACAGTAATTAGATTACCGTTACTTCCCCGTAAACAGCCTGCGTTACTGCGTTAGTTAACCGTGATTTTGTTTAGTCAGACTGTCTCGTGACATGAGTCGTGCGTGAATAAAAATGATGTATGAGCGCCGCGACATCAGTGAGAGACGACTAGAGCGCGGGAGAGAGCAGCCGAGCTGCCAACTCTCACACACGCTCACACGACACACCCCCGATTTCTCGCGCTGAAGTGTCAATCCCGTCGGTCAAATCCCTGAAAGATGAGTTTATCTATAAATCTAACCGTTGAGCCACATTTGTGATTGACTAGTTATACCGCAAATTAGTTAAAATCTCCCGGAATCCAGAGCGAGCGCGCTTGCGAGACTGTGTTCCAAAGTCCAAACTTCGTATCGCGCGCGAGGAGAGGAGAGCAAGAGAGAGACTTGCGTACTATGCAGAGAGCATCCTGATCTGGAAACAGGACCCCCGTTGGAGAATGTCAAAATTCTACCTCAAATCTGAGCAAGCATGTCACGAGACAGCCTGACACGTAAAGCAGCAAGCCGGTACAGGAATGTGAAACTCCCCCATCTGACATGACCGCTGCGGCTACATGCTGACTGCTTAACAACAAATAAAAAAAACTTGAAGCCAAAATACCGCATGCAACAGCATTTTCTGTTTTGATCAACAAATTTTTACTCCTCTCTGCAATTTACTGTTAAAAGACGTAAGTGTTAATACACTGTAATATAGTCAGGAGCGACTTTCATGATTTTATTTTATTTTTACATCTATTCAAATGAAGGATTTTACAAAATATATTTATTTTATATGCTGGAATATGTAGAAATTTATATTAACAGAAGAAGGGCTGTCTTTTTCATTAAAATGGTGGAATGTGCAGAAAATATCTAAATGTTAAATGTTCATCAATTTTCTTCTAGTCTGAGACTGTTGCATTTAATTTAATTTTTGCTTGATGCAATGTGCATAAAGTTAAAATATTGAAACAAATAAAACAAGTTTAAAAAAAGAGAATGTTTAAGTTGATTACATTTTAGATGATGGAATATGCAGAAAGAATAGATTTAGGCTGAAAGGTCTATGCTTTAGCGTATTCAGGTCGTGCATTATGTTTTTGAAAAGTAACTTAGTAAAGTAACTAGTAAAGTAAATAAATACTTTTGAAAATAAGTAATCAGTAAAGTAATTGGATTACTTTCTTGGAGAAGTAATCAGTAATCAGTAACTAATTACTATTTCCAAGTAACTTGACCAACACTGCTTACAGCACAGTGGGCAGGCGTTTTGTCAGTATGGAGCAGTGGGTATTTTTTTCCCATAGTGTCAACACCATGACGCAGTGCGAGTTCCCTGAGAAGAGGAACGAGCACAGAGTGACAGACATAACCTGACGGCAGTAGTCAATCAAGATTGGCATTTAACACACGTGCTTCAGACACTGGTTCACAAGAAGCATTCCTTCCCAGAGCAACAACACCATGACACAGTGTCTCATTCCTCTTCCCCCAGTCGTAAGCCAAGACGTTTTCTGCAGAGCCGCTTTACAGTTGAATTGAACTCATTTAATAATTTATTATCTTTATAATGGAACTGAATCAACTCTAAACTGACTTCAACTGAACAACATTTTTTTTTTTTTTTCGGTTTCACTTTATTTTGATGGTCCCTTTAACACATTTGGTTGACTATAAGTAATGCTGCAAGTAAATGTAGAAGTACAACTCTCCTTTGAGTGTTAGTAGATTATTAGTAGAGTTACTTTTATAGTCAGTATAATGTCGGTTGGAGAACCATCACAATAAAGAGATTTTAAACAGACAATCTACTAATACTCTAATGAGAGTTACCGTGTCCTAACTACACGCGACGCGATAAAATTCCAGCGACAGCAAGTGTGTCTGTCCACACTAAACGCGACTGTTAGATGCTACACATTCAACAGCGTGTGAGCGGAGTCTCTCTGTAAAAGCGCACTGTTGGCCCGCACTCGCATTGGAAATGGGTACCCAGACAGCAAACTGACATTGAATCAACGTGGAAACGACGTCTCTCATGACATTGAAACAACGTTGATTTTGCTCATCGAATTAACGTTGAACCAACGTCAGACGCGGCATTCTTCAAAGCTAAATGAAAATCAAAAATTGGTTTGCTTTCATAACGTTGAAACAACGCGTTGATTTCAAGTTGATTTTCCGTTAGTTTTGAAAGAATGACGCGTCTGACGTTGGTTCAACGTTAATTCGATGAGCAAAACAATGTCAGATCAACGTTGTTTCGATGTCATATTTCCACGGTGATTCAATGTCAGTTTGCTATCTGGGTAAGGACATAATCAAATCAAGAAATAACATTATTAAAAATCAAAACATTAACAAAATATACTCATTGACTAATTTTTTATGAAGTACAGTTGTATGTTTGCATAAAATTCATTTTGAACGCTATATTTGCTTTTAAAATCTGAGGTAAATTATCCGTTTTCGCTTGTTGTGGCACAGTGACCTATTTTTAACTAAAAATAAATAATGTATACTCATAACCAGTGTAATTTCTTCATTCTGTCAGCCGCGACGTCGCAGAAATAGGAACCGTAATTAGAAACTTTGCGTGTCGCCGTCGCGTCTGGTTAGGACAAAAACTCTGATTAACATGGAAAAGATACCTTTAATCGCGTGTCGCGGCGTCGCGTGTAGTTAGGACAGTTGGCATGTAGTTGCAAAGTTTCTTATAGTCAACAGAATATTTAAAAGGGACCATCGAAATAAAGTGTTACAATTGTTTATTTTTAGAGGTCCTTTAAAAAATTTAATGTTCATGACAAAAGCTGCATTGAAACAATCTGTATTATATAAAGCGCGAAAAAGAAATAAAGGTGACTTGACTTAAAGGTGCATCTGTATTGTTATCTGTACTGTATTGAAAGGTGCATCAATTGACTTAGAGGTGACCTTTTGCATCTGTAAGTTATTTCTGTCTTATCCACAAGTTTCCTACGCCCCATGAGGCCTTGCGTCAAAAGTGGGCGCGACTTCCGGTTGGAAGTAAACAAAGCGCTACTTGACATGCTTGACACTCGTTCATTCAACAGTTACAGTCATTCAAGTTATAGCGATCCAAACTAGCTAACGATGTGGGAACACAACCTCAACGAAATTAAAAAGGGTGAAATAACAGTACCTTTACCCTCCGCAGTAGTTGATTGGGAGTATTATAACATTATTAATAATCAATACTCATCAAGGCATGGTGACAGACAGTTGTGCGAGCTGACAAACAATTAAAATAAAAAATACACACTTAGTCATTGTGCTTTGGAGTTTATTTAAAATTATAAATGAATGTGCTTCTTGAATACATTAACTGGCACATTTGGTATTCTGTCAACTCAGGCTTTGATCCTGAGTTTAGGTGTAACATCAGTAGCGAACAGCCAAACACATGCTGATAGAGTTTATAGAATAATAAGAATTTAAACAAATGTACACAGAAAGATTCGTCGTCTTTTGGGAGGTGATGGAGACTACAGTTGTTGGCAGGATCACTCTGATTTCGTTTTCAGCTTATGTTCAAAACAATCTCGTTTAAGCCACTGAATTAGTTTAGTCCGGTTATACATACAACCACGAACAGCACATGTTGTCCCTGAGCTCTGTAACGCTCTGTAAAATAATTCTCTGAAAAACAGCTAGCCTCTTCGCTAACTAACACACAAAATACCATTGGAATGCTACTTCCGCCGCGTCACCGGAAGTTTCACCCACTTTATTTTTTACAGGAGCGCCCCTCGGAAACTTGTGGATAAAGTAATACAAAATGCATTAATACAAGCCCACAAGAGGTGGAAGTGGTGTGTATTCACAACAATGTTAATTTTGAATTTCCAATCAGCAGGTAAAAATATACAAGAGACAAATGAAACACCATTATGTAATTAAATAGGGATCTATAAATCATAAACATGTAGGCTATTTAAATATATTAACTGACATAATAATCACTCAAAACTAAATATGTGCTGTAAAAAAAAAGTGCTTATGAAAAAAAATTGTTTATGTCTAACACCTACATCATGGAGGAACACAATTTAAAGGACAGCAAATGTTTTTGCGGTAGCTTTTACTCACTTTCTGCAGTTTGAATGTTTGAGTCTAATGTGTTGTGTTGGTCTGCTGATGTGACTGTCATTACTGTAACTAAACAGAATGAGTTGTTTGATGGTGATGCTGAGGGCTGCTCATCTATCTCCTCATCAATCTAAACACATAAAGCAATAAAAAATCTCATGTTAGACAATGCAACATCATCTGTCTGAATAAAGATGGTTCTGTGTGTATTGGCAAACCGACCTTGGATTTGAGAATATTATATTTGCACATGGGACAGGTGGGGTGTTCCAGGAGCCATGGCTCAATGCATTTCTTATGGTATAAATGTCTGTAAAAACAGAATGTATTTCATATTAGGCATTTCTTTCATATATACAAAAAATTTAAATAACTATGTTAAGTGTGTATTTCTTAAAGAGTTAGTTCACCCAAAAAAGAACTCCGTTCATCTTCGGAGCACAGTTTAAGATATTTTTGATTTATTCAGAGATTTTTCTGTCCCTCCTTTGAAAATGTATGTACGGTATACTGTCCTTGTCCTGAGAGGAAATAAAGACATCATCAAAGTAGTCCACGTGACATCAGTGGGTTAGTTAGAATTTTTTGAAGCATTGAAAATACATTTTGGTCCAAAAATAACAAAAACTATGACTTTATTCAATTTATTTAATTCTCTTCCGGTTCTGTTGTCAATTCCGTGTTCAGTGACGCTGATAAGACGCTGATGATGTGTTATCTGGCGCGCCCGAGCTTCGTTTACAGTCGGAGGGAGATGCATGCATGCTGTAAATAAAACAATTTTCGCAAACATGCACTGTTAAACCTTACCAGGTTTTTTTACAGTAAAATACTGGCAACACTGTTGCCAGTTATTTACTGTAGAAATGCACTAAAACTCGAGTTAACTAAAAAAAAAAATACAACTTATTAGTTTTAGTGCAAAAACTTTAGTGCTAAAACTCGAGTTAACTAACTTAACTTGCAGAAACAAACTTAAAAGAATCAACTAAATATAATGCATTAATAATGTGAGCAAGGTATTATTGTGAACTTATTTAATTAGAAACAATAAAAATTAACTTTTGTAAATAAAGAGATTTCCACCGGATTCTGCGACTGACACAGACAGTGCCTTTTAAATAAAGCAAAATGCAGCGTATCATCAATGTTTGTAGATCTTCTCCTGGACTGAAGCTCAGGCTCTACTCTTCAGCACAATGGTTACCCAAAAACCAAGATTTTACAGTAAACTACTGGCAACAGTGTCATTAGTTTCATAACTTACAGTTTATTACTGGTAAAATACATTTTGTGGGAGTGTCTTTTTATCTTACACTGTTAACCCTTTCTACCCCACAGGAAAATCCACACTACAAAGAGTAAAAATTAACATTGATGCAGTGAGATAATTAAGGGAATATGTAAGAGATTGTTGAGCATGAACACCTGCTGTTAACAAGCAGAATCACTGAAGGAAAGAGGAACATCAAGAACAGAAAATAGAGAAACACAAGAACTACAACTGACTTCAGCCATTACACATTATTACACTTATTATTAACCAGTATGGCTTTATTTCTGTCATACATCTATAGAAGATGTTGTTGAGATGTTTAATTAAAAATGTTTGGTTTGAAGTTACCATCATAGAGATCAGTGTTTGCTTTAGTTGGTATGCTGACGCTGTAACACGAGATTTTCTTTAGACGCTGTGTTTAAGCAAGTCACACTTGTGCAGACACACAGTTTAGTAATGATTTGTCAAAACATGACAATCATCATATGGTCTGTTCATTTACTAAATAATTCATTTTTACTCATTCAGAGTTTAAACCTCAACCAAAAGTGTTACATTACCACCACCTTGAAACCACAGCAATTAATTACGACTATTTGTTTTTAGCATATCATACATAAACCAAAACAGCGCTACAGTGTTGTTGAAACACCAATATATCAAAATTTAGCACATTAATCTCAATAATGGTGGCAATTTTTTTTTTATTCATGCAGCAGTGCATGCTGGGAGTTTTATAAAATCCTGGAACCCAGCATGCACTGCTGCAGGAAAATTTTGAATGTTACCGTTGTTGAGATGAATATTATAATTGTTGATGTCTGTGTGTGTCTGACTTTAGCAGGATATTATTTAAATGTTTTATATGATTAGAATATTATTCAGAAGACATGATTAACCAACATATTGATTTCATGTTGTAGATTCACAGATTTATTTTATAATCATAACTTCATGTATATTTCATATTAAATACCCATTTATTCAAAGAGTATAAACAGGAAAGATCTGAAAATCAGACATATCCAGAATGATCATGACATCATCACAGAAGCCAATAACACCAGATCAACTTCCTCTTGACTTTTTCTAGCTACAACAAATGTGTTTTAAAACTCACTGTTACAACAGTCAGAGTGAGATAAATGTCACAAGTCCAGGGATAAGAGGCCTACTAAAGCAAATACTGATCTCCATTATGGTGACAAAAAACTTTATTATTAATTAAATCTCTGTTAATTCTCAACAATAACTTTTGTACATGTATGAAATAAATAATGTTAAACTGGTTTGTAAACTGTTTTCACACTCTGTGTGACTGGAAGTCAGTTGTAGATCTTGTGTTTCTCTTTTTCAGTTCTTGTTTCTCTGTCCTTCAGTGATTCTGCTTATCAGGTGTTCATCAGTGTCTCAATTTACTCACTTCTTTTCATTCAAGTGAACTATATTAGTGAACTAATGTAGGGAATAGTGAATGAGGGTATAGGGTGTGATTAGGAACACAGTCTCTGAGTGTTGACTTTGAGAGCTGTTAATTCACAGTATACTCCTGTAGGCTAGTTTTGTTTTCTACGATATATAACTGTTTTAATGGAAAATGGTATGATAGTGTCAGAATTTGGCCTGTTGCCAGTATTTTACTGTAAAAAACCTGGTAAGGTCTAACAGTGTGTCTAAGGATTTCCACACAGAGGAAGATTTTTATTGCCCAGCCATATTTATTTGAACCTGAATACACGGACACACCAGATAACACGTCAGCAGCGTCTTACATCATCAGCGTCACTGCGGACTGGTGAAAGCGGCTTGACAAAAAAATTGGAAGACAATACAATGCTGATTAAAATCGTAGTTTTTTGTTATTTTTGGACCAAAATGTATTTTCGATGCTTCAAAACATTGTAACTAACCCACTGGTGTCACACGGACTACTTTGATGATGTCTTTATTTCCTTTCTGGACAAGGACAGTATACCGTACATACATTTCCAATGGAGGGACAAAAAACTCTCAGACTAAATCTAAAATATCTTAAACTGTGTTCTGAAGATTAACAGAGGTCTTACGGGCTTGAAACGACATGAGGGAGAGTCATTAATGACATCCTTTTCATTTTTGGGTGAACTAACCCTTTAATGTTATGTTCTACTGTTTTCTCAGAATGAACCTCCAAAAAATTATACTTATACCTCTTTAATATGACAATATATTTTATGTTTTGCTACATTATGTCTTCTCTAAAATATGCTTTGTATGTGCTCAGACCTTTCATTGAACAGAATCTTTGCTTGATGTAATATTCAATGGTCTAAGATAAGGAAGTTACAATAAATAAAATAAATAAGGATGAATATGCATCGAAATTAACATACTATAGTTACACTATTCTAAATTTAGAAACGTCTGTAATGTTGAACTAAAATCATAAGTGGATTTCCTCATACTGCACCTGCAAGGCAGAACTGTGACCTGTTCGTTATGTGTGAATGAGTCAGTGCACACCACACAGCTCGTGTCCTCTGATCCCACCTCCTACAGACACACAGGCAAGATGCTTTTACTCACTGCAGTTTAAATGCTTCTGAAATGCTTATTTTAGGATTTAGCAATGGGCCAATACCGGGTCACCTGTCCGCAGAGTCCGCACTTGTAACTTTGCTATTGCTTTTTCAGTCAATTTTTTCATCTCCCTCTGCACAGAAATGGATGACAGAGCAGAATTATTAGCAATAATTTTAAAAAAGCCCTAAGAGATTTTAGAATATCTGGAATATATCTGAATATTTTATATTGAATATACTAAATATTTGAGTAGATTTGACTCCTACAGTGAACCTTAACTTGAATACTTTACCTGTTGCATACGAAGTTGTCGGTTTATGTACATGCGTTTAGTAAACAGGAAAGCGAAGTAGAACAAAGTGATGGCTGTTATTCCAATGAAGGTGAAAGACAGTGCATATACCCATGTAGCATTGAGCCACAGGCCATATACATTGGCTGCAGTAATTGCCATATAGACGTCTGAGCCATTCTTGATCAGGTTAGTGATTCCTGTGCCTAGAATATTGCCAATCATTATGGCAACTATGTCATCAGCATCTGTGGAAATAAAACACTAACATTAACCATGACTGGTTATTTTTGAGATCAACAGCATAGCATCCCAAAATATGTCTGGATTACAGGGAATATCGCTTGGACAAATTTCCATCAGTTGGATTGCAGCAATGCCATATTGCAAAGTATTGCACAAAGTATAAAATCTTTGAAATCAACCTTGTTGTAAAACATCTTTCCTTAAAATTCTACTGTCAAGAGTATTTGAATAAAGAGTCAGTCAGAAGATTTTTTTTTAAATTTCTGGTTTTAATAACAACTAATGGCATTAAACGAAAGATACAAATGTAGTCTTAAACATTTCTATTGAGAAAAATGTACTATTTCTATGACTTTGGCACTGTATATCATTATTTAAGATTTTAAAGTACAACATAATTCGAGAATTCATTCTGATTCAAAGGGGTTCCGAATGCCAAACGGACTGGCGAGAGGAGGAGCTAGGGATGGAGGAGGGTAATTAGCTCATGAGAAACGCGATAGCTGCTGATAATACTGAAGGAGCTTATATATGCCACAGGTCGTAGGAAGGATGATGGAGATCAAAGTAGAAATAACACTTTCTTTAATAAACCAAAACTCAGGAACAGGTTAACAGGTGCGACGCGCGTGTTAAACACAAACAATACCGGACAATGAAGTGAAGACCTGTGGCAAAGGTCCAAAGAAGTCCAAAAGCAATATATGTATACAGTGATAGGTGTCATATTTCTATAGGTAGACGTGCATCAGCTGAGTGTCAGCTGATGCGAGCTCTACTAACTTGACTCTATTAAAGTATTCATTGTAAAGCATTAACTATTTTGAAGCGTAATTTCCTTATGGGTTGTGTTAATGCTGTGCTGATATTTATTTTCAAAGAAGTACATTGTCTATTAAAGCTGCAGTCGACAAGTCTGGCAGATTGAGTGGACTTACGCCGCCTTCACACTGGCAGTTGAAATCAGCTCCGATGCGGCTGTGAAACGACCGGAAGTCATTCATTTCCTATGGAGATTCGCAGACCGCATGCGAATGGGTCCGAAACGGGTCCGACCGAGTGCGGTCCGAAGAAAATCGTGTCCGTTGGTCATCTGGATGCGTTGAAAAATTTGAACTCGTGTGAAAATCTACGGACGGTTCCTATCCGACAATTCCAGCGGAAGTTGACCGTTGCTATGGTACTGATAAACAAACCTGAATTATTAACTTTTAATAAAATAAATAATGATTTTATAATGATAAGTTGTCATGTCATTTTTTATTTTCATGACTTTCTAACGTTTATAAGGGAAGTTAATACAATTAAATTGAAGGTAGACATTGAACTATTGACCACTATCACATTTTTTAGCCGACCTGACATGTCAACGTCCTCAGCAACTTTCCTCATGCAGCATAACCCTAATCAGAGAGATCATACAGAACTGACAGAATCAACTTTTAATCTCTCCGCCATTTTTGTTCTACCCGCGTCCAACGCTTTTCACTGTGTAGTACGACGTCCGTTGGGAATGTATTGCGTATTACGGAGCTGATTTAAACTGCCAGTGTGAAGGCGGCGTTAGGCAAAATTTTGAATGTTTACATCTCTCATGCCCCTCCCCCACAATCAACGAATACCCTCCCATAGAGTTCGTGCTCGAGTGCGTGTGCACCAGGTTATCTGTGAACGCGACCGTCTCATCAGCATCCATCAACACCATGGATTATAAGGTATGCTGCCCTGGCTAATCTACCAATATATTGCAATTGCTAACGTCATTTATACTCTAAATGAGCTTACTTGGTTTGTTAGTGTTCCGCCATCACTCTTCCTTACTGTGCGAACTTCAGGCATGTTCATGTGATTGTACCGTGCGATCTACAGTCAGATCTCACACACCCCTGTGCTGATTGCACCCGATGATCCGGGAGCGGTGGATTTTTGCAAAACAAAAAACACTCTCCAGATGGAGTTAGAAGCTCAGGTTTTTTCTAAAACCACTTTATTTATGTTGTTCTGTCGGATTATAGTGTCGATTTCACTGAATATGAGCAAAAAAAAAAATGTTGCCGACGGCAGCTTTAATGGGTAGACCAATAGCTACAGTAACGTCTTCTGCCAGTCAACTTGAAATTATTTCCATCTGAACTGGTTATATCTCTTAAGTCTAGAATGTTTTATGAACATAAATATTAATAATATAATATTATAATGTTATAATGTATAATATAATGTATAATGTGTGGATAATATTAATCCACACAGTCACGCAGAGCTGAAGCACAACCAAAACAATGTTCTTCCCCAGAATGGAGTTCTATTCCATAGTTCCAGACTGCCAAAGACGGATAAACATAAAAAGTGGAAAAGGTTCATAAACTCGTGTATGATAAGAGAATCCCATATTGATTCAGTCACACATGACCTTGACCAATGACATAGCAGAGTCCTTTACATCATGGTATGTCTCTTTAACTTTCTCGTGGCGAGATCTCATATGACTGTGCACAGTTTGGGCTGGTATTAGCCCCCTTCTATATTTGTGTCTTAACACCTTTAAAACTTTAAAGCTTAACTTTTGAATGAACATGTCACTTGGTTTGTAAGCGATCCCAACAGGGGTTCAAGTAAGGGTTTTATAAGACTCGAGGGCCCATTGGTTATCCAAGGTTCTCAAAAGGATCTCCAGTGATATGCAGGTGAGTAGTATAGAGCTCATTGGTTAACCAGGTTTCTGGTAATCATTCTACTGCAGGGTTCCTCAAATCCAGTCCTAGAGGGCCACTACCCTGCAGAGTTTAGTTCAAACCCTAATCAACAAGCTAATCTACCCCTGCGTCCCAATTCGCATACTATCCATCCTAAATAGTATTCGAAAATAGAATTAGTACGTCCCAAATCGTAGTATGTTGAAATGAGTGTTTCAAAGATACCCGGATGGTCTACTTTTTCCGGTCAGAATCCGAAGTGTAGATCGATGCACACTCTAACGGCTGATATTGCCCACAAACCATTGCGCGTTGGACGAGGATTCGGTTAGAACTACAAACACGAGTAAAAAGTGTTAAAAAACTACAGACACGTAGTCGATACGGAGGACGCGCGAGTCCCCGCGGTTTTGTAGAGAGGTTTAGATAAAGAGCTTTGAGTGATTAATTATCAGTATCTAACCTGACGAAAATGAATTTATTTAATGTTGTCCACATTATATTGCATTTGCAGCAGCATTGTGAACTTTTATAAAGACACGTTTAGCCATTACGTTTAAAATGCATCATTATATTCAAATTGCAAACACACGAGGAGAGCATGAAAGACCCACAACTGGCAGATGAACGTGCTCTCCGAAACGGTAGGAAATAAAATTAGATAGAATGGAGGATTTTAACTGTGACAAGATGATTGACAGGGCAGTTTACGGTGACAGGATACAATGCAGCACGCGACAGAGCTGTCCGTCAAAGATGACGTGATAGTACGTCCCAAAGCTTGCCTACTCTTTTGCTACACACTCAAAAGTATGTACTTTTTACTCACAAAAAGAGTACATACTTTTAGGGCGTAGTATAAGTAAGCGAATTGGGACGCAGCAAATGTCTTCAGAGTTACAAGAAAATTGCAGATAGGAGAGTTTGATTAGAGTCAGAATTAAACTCTACAGGACAGTGGCTATCTAGGGCTGGATTTAAGGAACCATGTTCTACTGTCTTTAATATGTTTAAGTCTAAGAGCACTAATTGGTTTCCAGAGTGTTTGGTGACTGATGAAGTGCTTGTTAGCTAAACGTCTCCATTAAATACTGTTTACCCCCTTGGCTGAACAGGGCCACGGTTTATTATTAATACTATTCTGTCTGCTCTGGGCCCATGAACGTGATTGATTCCAACACCCAATGTTCTACCTGTTTTGACCACATCCAGGAGGCTCTAACAGAATCTTGTCCTGAATCTTGTGCTTGTTGAGAAAAAACGGACTTATAGGATTGGACCTTGAATTTCGGGGTGTTTCCCCTCAAACTGTTTTCTCAGCTCAGCCGCACAACAGCAAGCAATTAACAGGAAGGACTGAGGACTGAGCAGGAAGGAATGCTTCTTCGGCTCTTCTAGCCCACCAGGTGGCTTGGTTTTTTGGTTTTGGTTTTTTTATTTAATTATATCAAGAAAGCCAAACATAAAAACAAAAGGCATCGAAATATAATCTAGGATTAAAACACAATAAAGTCCAGGACTTATTTCCATTGTGGTCCTCTTACAAGTTTTATTGTTATTTTTTCTTTGTCTTTATTTTTTTATATATTTTTGTAAATATCTTTTGTGGATTATTGTGTGTTGATTTTTGTTGTTGGATAAAAGCAGTGTTTGACGTAAGAGGCTACAGTCCAAAATCTCTCAGCTTAACTAGTGGGTGATGTTCCAGCCTCCAGAAAAGGAGTTGATGACAGTAATGTATGCATTTATTATATGTATGCCTACCTCGGTCCATCAATTAGCTTTTCTCAAGAGGATCTGGATACTGTCTCACTGCCTGCTTCTTAATCATTGGTTGAGCCTGAACAAGGTCACCATTCCACTATTATATAAATGTAACAAATTATTATTATTGATATATCTTGAGCACATGGGAGGTTATTCTGATCGCCCAGCTGGCTGCTGTTAACGTGTGGCATTTTTGAGTCCATAGGTGGTGTTGAGAGAGAGAATTCCCAATCAACGGGAGAGCAGTGACTGCTTCAATGGCGTGCTCTCCTCTTTTTTCCTCATGGCAGGATCTCTCTCCTTTTCTCTGGAGTGATCCAGTTTTTTATTATAGTTTTATTTGGATTTTTGGTCATTTATATTTAATGCTCTTCATTGTTATTTTTGTCAGTAACGAGTAGTGGATTTATTTTCAGTTCACATTTTTTGTTAGAAGAAACGCCTGTTTTTTCTCATCGAGAGTTGAGAACAGGTTTGGTCAGGCACTTTCCACAGCTACCCAACCTTTTTATTGTTATTTTTTCTTTATCTTTATTTTTGTAAATATCTTTTGTGGATTATTTTGTATTGATTTTTGTTGTTGGATAAAAGCAGTGTTTGACGTCTTAAGTTTAAAGCGTCTGCGATTGATTTATATGTTCAACCCATATCCATTACTAATTTCTATAAAATCAAACAATGTATATGATATGTTGAACAATTGGATTTTACAGTTCAGGGAAGGAACTGGAATTTATAGTATGAACTCATGAACTTTAGAAAACTCTGAGTGAGTCATAAAAACATTCTTATGATCTCTACCCAACATAAAATTTTACAGTGCCATATATGTACTGTACAAATAAAAAGTCAGTGTCAGTCAGTGACAATTTCAAAGCCTTTCATAACAGCTTTAAGTACCGATACCACAATGATATTAAATCCTGCGTTTAACAACGTGATCTTATCAAAGATCAGTATGGTCTATGGGTTGTCCCCCGACTAAAGATTTTTCTAGTCGACCAGTAGTCCTTCATTTAAGCCATTAGTCGACTAATCGCATGTTTAAATGTATTTAATTACTATTATATTATATTTACGTAATTAAATACATTTAAATGTGCGATAAGTCGATTAATGGCTTAATCGGGGGGGGGGGGCATGCTGCAAAGCACTGACAATTATTATGATTATGAATGTGTCTGAAAGTAGCAAGGATACATTGCACCTTTTATATAGATTATATAATCAGAGAGTATTTGTTTTTTACTCAAATTGGTTATTTTAAAAGCAGACATTTCAAGCTTCGATATATTTTTCATGTCTGTGAGGCACATATACACTGAGTTTCAGTTCATTTATGTGACGCACTGTAGTTCAAGGAGAAAGCTTGGTAGAAAGCTCATCCTATTTGTTTTCTTTATTTTACAAAAGTACAAATTTGTTGTAATTGTGAGTGTACACAAATAAAAGTAGACCCTTTACAGTATGAAATGATGTATTACTCCTATCTGTAATAAGAGTAATATATTATTTTTAGAATAAATATGCAGGTGATCACCTCCATGTCATGCAGTAACAGTGCATTCACACAGGGCGTCTGTGCTAACGCTTCTCATTTACTTTAAATGACTGATATCCTCCGTTGCCGAACTGGATTGTGGGTTCTGTTGTGTCGAGACATTTTGCCAGCGCCAATGCTGGTGACGGCTAATTACATTTCTTTAGATGTAGATGGCTCTTTTTTTCAGCCATTTTCACTGATCTGTGTGAACAGGATCATTTTTACAGTGTTGTTGTCTATATTCAAAACACAAAGGAAAAACATTTCCATTATCTTTGTCGTGTAAATGTGCCTTTAGATGTTCCATACATGGAATGGCGAATTTGAGTGTGACCCGGACGCACCAGTAATGTTGAGTTTTATTTTGCTAATAAAATGATCATGCCAGAGAACTATATCTCTGGTCTCTCGCTATGATCAATGAACTTTTTTTACATTTTATATTTGTGCAGTAAGATGATTTAAGCGTGGACAAGAAAATTAGTTTGGACAGAAAATGCTAGTGTGGATGGAGAGCACACAATTTTCATGTATACAGATTAAGGTTCACGGGGAGAACATACAAACTCAACAAAACATTAATGTGTCCACAAATCCATGATTGGCAAAAAGCCATTACATTACATAAAAGCCAAGCCATTTCCATTACAATATTTGGTAACACTTTATTTGAAGGGGTGTGCATAATACTAACATGACACCTTCATAATCATGACACATGTTATGAATATGAAGGAAGTTTTATGCATGTTTATGACAACTGTCATTAAGTGTCATTCGCTCAATTATGACATTTGTATGACAAATATGACATTGTTTGAGATGTCCTGTTTATGACAACTTGATGTAAACCAATACATCATAACCTGTCAGTATCTTTGTAATGACAACTTGACATTACTAAGACAACACAACATGTCATAAACATGACATAGCAGATTAATATTGGTTAACATTACATTAAACTTTCAGGTGGTTGGTTTTAACATTGGCTGTTATGAGGCCATTGTAATATTTTAATGACAAATTCAATGTGTACCACTGTAGTTGAGGTTACGAAAAATATTCATGACACAGTTATAATGGCTTCATGACAGCCAATGTCAAAACCAACCACATGACATTTTAACTTAATTTTATGTCAAGTTGTCATGACAAAGACACTGACAGGTTATGATGTTATGGTTTATGTCAAGATGTCATGACAAAGACATCTTAAACAATGTCATATTTGCATTCAAAATGTCATTATTGAGCAAATGACCCTATTTCATATTCATGAAATATGTCATGTCATGGTTATGAAGGTGTTATGCCAGTCTTATGCACACCCCTTCAAGTAAAGTGTTACCCAATATTTAGACATTTTTAAGCAGCTTTTTTGCAACAACTGTATTTTTATCTGCCTGTTATGTGTTTCATATTGCTGAAAAGTGGTTAGGTTTAGGGTAGTGTTGTGGTTATGTGCTTAAAATATTCAATAAAATTATAAACATAAGATACACAATTGTTTATAAAGATAAAGCAAGCAATTAAAAGCAAAGACACCTAGAGGTAATTTTTGCGGCTTAATAGTCACATGCAATGTTTTTTGACCTTGGGAGTGGGAATGGGTTGTTTTTATCACACACACACACACATTTATATAATTACAAATATAGTTTTTACAGTTGTACTATTTTTACTTATATTAATAATGTAGGCTAATAGTAGCATTAACATTAAAAACTTTTTTTTTATTAATCACTGGCATAATGGCAGGTTTATAACTTAGTCATTTTGTATTTTGTTTATCAACATCTATCATGAACAGGTTTTAATATGAACTCAAACATGTATCTTTTTTTTTTTTTTGTATGCAAGCAATGTAATTTCTTTTATAATATTTTATTTTATATCTCCAAAGACATTCTAAAGTAGATTGTTTTAGGCAATACAATTTTAGTCTAGGAAGAAATCAGTTTTGAAGTCAGCACATTTTTTAGATTTTACCCTCCACTATCCCCAAACTTATTATGAAGTTGTTTCCTTGTCATATAAATATGCCTTGCTCAGTTTGTATTTTCTATAAAGCTGCCAATTGAATTGTCTTGGTTTGCCAATTAGAGAAACTGTCATACCTGAATGTGCCTTAAGGTTAGTCGCATTGTCTGTCCCATCAATATTGTAAATAACTACAGCAGAGGCTCCTTCTTGCTTGGCAACCTGTACCTTCTGTGAATTGGTACAGTTTCCTTTTTTTATCAGGGCAATCCATGGCTGGTGACTTGCGGTGAAAGTAGTGTTCCCTGAGCATGCCAAAGGATCCCCATTTGGAAGCACTATTAGTCCAGAAGCTGATTCCAAGGGTGAGCGATTTACGAACTCACCACACTCACATACACTCCTTACAGTTTCATTAGATCCTCTGTCAAAGTATTTAACATCCACATAGGCAGTCCAGTAAATAAAGGAAGCACTTTGTTGGAAACAGTACTGGAAAACCAATACTGTCAACCAGATCCATGAATGGCCATGTCCATGCATTGCTCTAAGCCTCACTTTCATTGCGTCAGGTAAACACTCCTGTGTCTTGGCATGCTCTGTGGTCATCAATAATAATAAGATGCCTTCTAGGTGGTAATATAAGATGTTTTTTTACGTCAAGGGAGGTGTTCTTATCACAGTGGACCTTGGACATTGGTTAAGATAATATTCACTTGAAAGGGATAGGCTTAAGTATTTTCTTAAGCTGCGACTTTAAGCCCTCAGTGGAACTCAGGTTCAGTTTTACCCTTTTGAATTTGTAAAACTAATTTACATCAGCTTATTTAGTGTTTGACCTGAATTGGTGATCCGAATGTGGCTATGTAATATTCTTTTTAATTCTTCCACAAAAAAAAAAAAAAAAAAAAAAAAAAAAAAAGGGAGCAAACATGAGGGGATTTTCCCCCCTAAAACCTTCTGTAAAGAAAGGCAGTGGCTACAAGGAAGTGTTTTGTGAAAATTTATTAAAACTGCCCACTTCAGAAAATATTTAGGTCTCCAAGGACCGCCTAACTATTCAACTACAGTTATACAAAGCTCAAAAAATGAGGCAGTTTGTATTTTTTAATATTTAATAAAAATATTTATTATTGTCAGCCACTTTAACCATTGTAAAAACCCAATTTGAACATTAACACTGCACTGTTCTGCTTACATACAGGTAAATAAAAAACTTAAATAATGATTAAATTCACGTGTATTGCACCTAAAAGTCTAATAAAAACTTGTACCCTACTATACTTAAAATATTGTCATTGACATTGTACGTTTTATTAACATGTTTAATTTAGATTTCCAATACAATAGTATTTTAGATGGAGAAAGTGCCTGTTCCAGAGCCAGTGCCTTTTACAGAGCCAGTGCCTGTTCCAGAGCCGGAGCCAGTGTCTGTTCCTGAATTGGAGTTAGCGTCTGTTTCTGTGTTTGTGTCTGTCCTAGTGGCCGTTGCTGTTCTGGTGGCTATTCCTGAGCCAGAGCCTGTTCCTGAGCTGGAGCCAGTAGCCGCGTTTCCACTGCCGGGCCAGGGCCGGGCCGTGCTAGTGCGTGCCAGGGCCAGTCGCGTTTCCACTGTCACTCCGGGGCTTGATCGGGGCTTCCTCAGGGCCAACGGCCAGGATTTCTGGCCCGTCGAATACCTTGGGCCAGAGGGGGCCAGCTCGGGCTAGAGGCGTGCTCAAGGTTAAAGGCGGAGTTTATCGGTGTTATGGAACGTTATGATCTGAAGCAAGATGCACATAGGGGTGTCACTGATTAACCGTTTAAAATTGCAAAACATTTTAATTTGAACTGTAGGCCTATGCCAAATGCTGCGCAAAAATATATAGGCTACATATCGACGAATTTTCAGATATTTGTTTGATTTTTTTTGCCCCTTAAACATTTAAAATATTTGACAAATTAATATGAAAAGAATATATATTTTACTGGTTTTCTGAGGCCAAATTAGAACCTGGAAATTATATTTTCCCTGCAGTGCTGAATGAGAAGAGCCGTTACCACAGCCTTCTGCAGAAAGGGGATTTATAGGTGATTTATAGGCTATAATGAATGTGTTTGATAATAAAATAATATAAAATAACGAGGCATTAATTGTTTATTAATAAACTATTGTTTTCTAAATGATTTTCGGCTAAAAACATATCTCCATCTCCGGATGCACATTTAGAGAGAAATTAATTAGCTACATAAATACATAGTCAGAAGATATTGGCTTTCGATTCGAATTTGTTCGTTTTAAATTGGACATAAGCTTTAATCTACAAAGGATAGAACCCCATGTAGACTAAAGCTTTAAATGTCCAATTTAAAACGAACAAATTCGAATGCGGTGGCTGTTTCAGGTCTCGCGCTTCAGTTCACGGAGATCATGAAGCGCGCCTTGATTAATTGTTAAAGCACAACGTTTTCTTGTTATTGTGAGTTTACGCAAATAAATGTATTTGCGAATAATGTATTATTATTTTCTGTATGACCAGAAATGAAAGAGTATTTTAAGTTGTTTCCACTGAAAGAAATGCAATGAAACTGCAAGTGTTCACATGGGCGTCTCGCAGCCATCAGTGCGTGCTCCACACACACTGGATATGCGCTGATACGCGTCAAAAATATTGTGTTTATTTGTGCTCTGTTCCTTTTTTGGATAAAAGCGTCTTCTACATATGCAGCCTAATAAAATGTTACAATAATGATGATGATGGTTATTATTATTATTATTATTATTATTTGCAGACACGGAGTTTTTGTGAAATGGACGTTTTGCTTATTTTCAATTGGCAATTTCAGTTTGAAGGGTGATGGAAATGCGGCTTTAACTGCTCCGTACTTGCTGCGTTTTATTTCTATAAATTAATTTAGTTTCAAATGGGGTCCAATCAGTTATTAAAGGTGTTAAAAATTACCTCTGTATCTCGAGGTTGCGGCGCGCGCACTATGCACCGAGTAGGCTATTAACCGATGGGCCTCGGTTGACGGTTCATGAATAACTTGAAAACGTGCCCGCAGCCCTACTTGTTATATCGCGCAAAAAAAATCGCTGCTTGAAATGGAGAATCGCCTGTACTGGTCTCGGGACACTATTGCAGCCACTACGGCAGGTTAGTTAATATACATGTAACATGCTATCTTCCTAATTTACAAAATAAATTAATTCATAATACCCGCTGAAATGGGTTGGGTTTTATGACGTTTGATCCAGAAAGGCGTGTTAGGGGTGGGGTCTGGGGCAGCGCTGTGGGGCTACTGGCCCGGCAGTGGAAACGCAAGCCCGGTGCTTGAGGCCCGAGGCCACTAGCTCGGCCCGGCTCGCTGTTAGCTCCGGCCCAGCCCTAGCCCGGCAGTGGAAACGCGGCTAGTGTCTGTTCCAGAGCCGGAGCCAGTGCCAGTGCCAGTGTCTGTTCCGGAGTCACTGCCCTGGATGCCCGAATGGTCTTCACCATTCTGACCGCCCGAAGGGTCTTCACTACTCTTCTGGCCTGGTTGCAAAGTAATTGAAGAGTTTTTGACTGCATCAATAATAATGTATACGATGGGCTATATATTAAATGTTCTAGCCTAAAAATGTTAGACAAGCTTTCTTCTAACTTACTTTCTCCATCACAACATCCGCACAATGTTGTTGGTTACCTAGTAACAACGTACGGTGGCCGAGAATGTTGCCTTGTAACGAACGAAATTTGGCCTAGATATGTGCTTGTGGCAGAAAACATCACTTTGTGTGCCTGTGCTTCATATAAAAGTTATACTGTATCAGAGCCCGTCTAACGGAGAACCTTGGCACTTCCTATTAGCCCCGTTGTGTATCATCCTGGTTGCAGTTCCATTAGAATTCCACTAGAGGTGATCAGAATAATGGGAGTCTATGGGGCTAAACGGGTAAAAGTGTCTCTTTCACCTGCTTGTCGTTAAATTACCATAGATTTTATTGTTGATTCCGCAAGTTCAATATAGATTATAGGCCAAAAGTCGAATGAACGAGTACTTATGTCCTTTTGATTTCTTACAGGTTAGGCCGTTGTTGGCCGGAACACGCTAGCATTCTGCTATTGTGTGACGTCATCACATTTTTGAACGGATTTTTAGAACAGATAAGTGAACTTAAAAATGCAATTTTCTGCTGAGTGTATTTTCTTAGCCCTCCCTTCTGAATGCAACTTTCAAATTACTTGACAAAAAATTACATCCTGAGAAAAGTGGATTTATGGGGGTGAAACCCCATTGACTCCCATTCATTCTGCACTTGACCGCGAGCGCCCCCGCATGGACAGAGATGTGTTACTGCAGCCAGTCCAGAACCCGGAAGTCACCAGCCAGTGCCAATTCTCTTCAATTAGACATTCTCTGACTGTATATAAAGCTTGCAGAACAATTTGGTTGGCATTGCCTTTTCAGCAAGAGAAATACACGGTGTGGCGTGTGAGCGTGTGAACTGGTTGAATTGTGTGTGTCTCACGGCCAATGCATGAGACTTGAGAACCCTGGTTTTCCCTGGACCCTAGAGAATTTGTTTGTTTCCCAGTTGAATTGTCAGCGTATGAAGCGGCTGCTGCTTACGTTGGGATCTATAGGCTTTAGCATTCAATTTTGATTAACCCTGGAGAACCCAAGAACCCTTTTCTTCCTTGGAAAATTATGAACAATGCATTAAATTACTGCTATAAGTTCACTGAACACCAAAATATCCACTTTTTCAATTTTAACCCTTTATTCCCTAATTTAGGATTAGAGCCAAATTTGACCCATTGGGCTTTAGGCGTATTATTTAAAAAAATCACAATAACAAATTCTGTCAATGCAAACTATTTTAAATTTAGGAAAATAATCAGTCAACCACACAGCTACATTTAACAATGTTTTTTTTTCTGTTGCTTTATTTGTTGCATGTTAGAACTGGATTTCAAACGTACAAACACTTTGGCCAATGGAAACAAGAACACAAGGCCAAAATCACTACCTGAAAAAACTAACACCATGGGTCTTGCTTATCCAAAAATCTGTTCTGCGAGAGGAAGTCATTAGACATTGTGGTAGTCTTTGAATTTTTTTTTTTGATGCAGAGAGGAACTGCACATTTTTCACAGTGCCGGAGTGGTTATACTCGCTGAAAAGATATACTACTTTATTAGTCTCTGGCCCTGTCCTACTGAGGTAACTTAGTCAAATATATTATACAAATTAAATTATTTCAAGGCTTTAGCCAAATACAGGACTGTCACCATTCTCCATCAAAGTCACTCAAAGAACCAAAGGGTCATTTTTGACCCAACATTTGTTTAACCCATACACCCAGAGGGTCATTTTTGGCCCATTGTTTTTCACTAATTTGGAGTCACTAATTTATCCAAAAAGAATGTAAAACGTACTTCTAGGCATTCTGCAAGCTAATACTAAATAGATTAACAAAAAATATACAATTTTACCAATCGCTGGTTTGCTGAGAAGACGATTTTGTTTGGACAGGTTTACAGCTCAACAAAACAGCATGTGGTCAGCCATCTTGTTACTACCACTCTGACACTTGTGAGTTCAATATTCATCCACTAGGTGTCTCTATGCAGTGGCCAGAAGTGGCACTCTGGGCTTTTGAAGTTAAATTAAATTTGTTTTTTTTTTAATTATTATTATTCTGGTTAGCAGCAATTAACAGGGGTCAAATTTGACCCCGTGGGTTCTCCAGGGTTAAATTATTAAAAATTTGTGGTCTGGGATGTTCACTGATATGCTCACACAAAAATCGCAGCAAAATATGCTTTCCAACAGGTTTTATCGTAGTTTTTGTCCAAGTCCATTTTCTTCCTGTTTTTGGTCGAAGTCCACAGTAGTCGATTGTCGAGTTTGCGTGCGCGATCCTTAGTTATCTAGTTACCAATGATCTCGCACGTGAACTCGACAATTTACTACTGTGGACTTCGACCGAAAACAGGAAGAAAATGAAGTCGGACAAAAACTACGATAAAACCTGTTTCATTTAGAGAGCTGGTCAACTCGGAGAGTGCCAGAACAAACTTCCTGTAATAGTTACACAGTCCAAGGAAGGCCTTTAGCTCATGCACACTTGTGGGGTTTTTCCAAGCTTCCACATCATTAATCAAAGCTGGATTGAGGTGTATACCCTCACCACTGACCACATGGCCCAGAAAAGGGATCTTTGAGTAGATGACACTATGATGGCTTCAGCTTCAACCTGTAACTGTCGAGGCATTGGAATACGACTTTGAGATGATCAAGGCTCTCGTCTACCCCTTTACCCAGGATTATGATGTCATCCAAGTAAATTAGGTAGATCCCACTGAAGTCCTTGAAGAACAAGCTCCATTGCCCTTTTGGAAAGTGCTTGGAGCATTGCACAATCCGAAGGGCATACGATAGTATTAATAAAGGCCACAGCGAGTGATGAAGGCCATCTTAGCTCTGTCCATTTCATCTACTACAATTTGCTAGTACCTAGCTTGGAGATCTAGAGTAAAAAAAAAAACACAAGCACCACCAAGAACATCAAGACATTCCGCAGTCTTGGGGAGAGGATAAGCATCTTTAATTGTCAGGCTGTTTAGGCACTGATAATCAACACACCAGCGTACACCCCCATCCTTTTTACAGACTAGCACCACAGTTGATGCCCACTCTGAGGAGGAAGGTGTAACGACTCCTGTTCCAGCATAGCTTTGAGATGCATCTCCTCTTCCCCTTGAAACCCAAGGGGAGTCCGAATTACAGGATGGCATACTGGCCTAGCCGCTTCAGTGTTTATCTTGTGCATGACAGCTGTTAAGAATCCAAGGTCATCAGGAGCTTAACAAGTCGTTGTTGCTGTTCGTTACTTAATGCCCCGATGGAAGCAGCATAAAGGGCTTGGAGGTGCTTGGGTAAGTCAATGGCAGTTGTCAGTCTTCTCAGTTCTGAATGAACTGTGTCATCACTCTGCTCTTGAAGACGACAGTCCTCTTGTTGCTGCTCGCAATTTGATAAGCACTCATCTGAATAAGTTTCATCTAAGAGACCAAGACAGGCTCCTTTCAGTAAGGTCTTGTGGCTGGAAAGATTGCAGAGCCGGACAATTACCTGTTGCTTCATGGTTGTCACAACACTTCCAGAAGCCACAGTTTCCGTGATCAGGTAGGGTTCCAAAACAGCACAGACCTGTTTTGGATTGTCAACTTCTCTCCAGACAAGACATTCACTTTCTGGAGGTAACATTGTGTCTGTCTCCAGAACCACTTCACCGCCAATGATCCTAGCAGGAACCAGCTCCTTCTCAATTAATACTCTGCCATTAGTGTGGATTTGCAGCTTGCAGAAGATCAAGGCCCAGCAGAACAGAGTCCCGTATCAGAGCCACAAAAACGTCCCATTCTGCACTCCAGGTACCAATTTGGAATTGAACTTTTAGTCCACCTTTGGCGCTCATGTCTTTCCCTGCTTCTGCATTATGGAGGCATGTCTGTGTTAAAGCCTTCTGCTTACTTGAGGGAAACTGCTGATATAAGGTTTCTGTGATAACTGTTGCTTCAGCTCCTGTGTCTACAATGGCGTTCACTGGAATGCTGTTCACAGTTGCATCAATGAGCAAACTTGGGCCTCTAATTGTAGCCCATCCCACCTGGGGTGTGGGGGACTGACTTCTCCAGCTTACCAAGTCTCTTGGAGCAGTACTGCGGTTTTGATCCTTACTACTTTGACCGGAGTTGGATGGCAGGGTTGACAGCCTCATGCACTCTCTGCGAAAATGTCCTTCTTCACCACAGTGATACATAAACCTGTTCCAGCACGACAGGGACTTGGGGAGTAGAATCTGGTTTTTGCTGTACCACGTTGTGTTGGAGACCGCCCTTGCTTGCTTTCTTGATTTGCTTCCTCCTGCTTTCTTGGCTCCTTAGCCACAGGGTTGTCTAGTTTCGATTGCAGCTGCTCCATCTTTTTCATCAGGAGGTAAAACTGGTCAACATTCACATAGTTCTTACTAATCCTCTCCACTGTCTCTGTCAAACACAATCCCGCTTCTGACACCAGTTGTCATGTTCTTGATATGTATGGAAAGTTTTACTGAAGTTCTTCGCACACAGATGTAAGTTACTCTTCACAGCGCACTCACCAACAGTGTTACATTCATGAACACAGACTTATATCAGGTTTCTGCGGCTGATGGCAGTTTTTCCGACATGCGATGAGCAATCGAGCGAATTCCAAGAACTACAACTAAAGTTACCAAAGTAACTTCATGCTCTATAATAAGTAGCGTGTATCTGAACAACCAATGAGCTACAAGTACACAGTAGGCAGTTAAGAGACTTAAAGGGCCAGACTACAACAATATAATAATAAAATAATACATTTTATTTATTTGGTGCCTTTCTGGACACTCAAGGTCGCCTTACAAAAAATACAATAAAACAAACTATAGTAAAAACTTGCATAAAAACATGTTAAAATACGTCATACATAAATTATATAAAGCATCATAAATAATATCATACGTAATCACAATGAGTAGGCTTGTCTAAACAGATGAGTTTTGAGTGTGGATTTAAAGTGTTTGATAGAATCGGAGTTGCGGAGGGCAGGGGGTAGAGTGTTCCAGAGCTGGGGAGAAGAGCGACTGAAAGCCCTGCTCCCCATAGTGATGAGGCGGGCGGGCGGGATGAGATGGAGAGAGGAGGAGGAACGAAGAGCGCGGGCTGGTATGGCGATATGAATGAGATCAGTCAAATATGAAGGGGCTAGGTTATGGATGGCTTTGAATGTGAGGAGCAGGATTTTGTATTGGATACGATATGAAATATGAAGCCAGTGGAGCTGTTGAAGAACTGGGGTGATGTGCTTTATGGATGGTGTGTGAGTAATGATACGTGCAGCAGAATTCTGAACAAGTTGGAGTTTATGGAGGTTTTTTTGAGGCAGACCATACAGGAGAGAATTACAATAATAGATTCGGGAAGTGACAAGGCTATGCACAAGAACAGCAGTGGATAGAGGAGTAAGAGAAGAACGAAGATGATGAATGTTTCTGAGATGAAAATAGGCTGTACGAGTTAAAGCAGTGAAGCAATTGCATGCTTTCGAGTTCCACGCCATGTCATCTCTCTCAATATGTATCATCAAAACTTAGGTTTCTAACATTTGTGTAGGTTCCAAACATAATTAATTTCACAAGGAAAAGGTTTTTTTTTTCAACATAAATCAGGATATCACACACACAGGTGATGCATATGATGTAGAAGACTTTTAACTCACGTGCCTTAAAAAAAACGTTCTCTCCTCCTTGTTTAGAGGTTTATCCTCCCGCATACTACAACAGCTCCCTCTAGTGGTGATTTTCCCATTCGGCAATGTACTGTACTTGACTGAACACAATAATGATTCCAGCTCTGACTCAGTCTCAAACACCAAGGTCGGCAAGGTTTTACACTCTGTATACATACATCCCCAATAAATTTCTCTTTACATGGTTAAGAGAATGAAATATATGCAAGCAGCAAAGTCTGCCACTTCGAAGAGCAAAGTACTATTGAAAAGTCTCCCTTACCAAAAACGAGTAGGCCTATACTTAATTTTATTGAGGATACTTAAGTAAAGTTCCAGTATACTTTTAAGTTTACTTTATGAATTAAGTATACTAATATCAAAAAGTATATACTAGAAGTATAATATCTGTTTCAATACTACCAGGACTAAATTGGCCCACTTTTTAGTGTAATACTATTAAGTATAACTTATTAAGTGTAACAGTAGAAAACTTTGAGGACACAACTTTGAGCACACAAGTTTTTCGTTTGTACTATACTATCTAAACATAGTTATTGTTTACTATTTGGATATTATTTTTGCACTTTAAGTAGGCTATACTACTGCTATGTTCCTATTTAGATATTATTTTTTTATACTTAAAATATACTTTTGTCTGTATTTGACCCATTTCCTTTTTAAAAAATATTTTATTGCAGCTTCACACAAACCTACACAAAAATTCAGAATAAAAAACATCTTTTCTTTATAAATCAAAATTTGTATAAGTCCATATGTAAAACTAGGTAAAATAATAATAATAATAGGCTACTCAATCAAAAGAATAAGCACAACTACAAGCCAAGAATATTTAATTATACTTTTGAGTATATTTCGATCAAGAGATTGAGCACAAGCACAGGTCAAATATCCTTACCCTTCTGATAGCAAGTGAAGTATCCTTAGAGAAATACATAAAAAGTAGACTGAAAGTATACTTTCTTATTTTTATTTTTAAAAAGCACAATGCGCTCACAGCTGCAAATGACCTAAACAGTGACACCGACTCCAAATCTATAGGTCTAAAGCTAACTTGAATAAACTTTTCGTAAGGGAATTGACACTAGCATGTCTAGCGTGATCAATAAAGCTTCCAGCTCATTTGAGTATTCTCATTCACATCAATTTAGTCTCAAACTTATTGCTGTGGGGTTCATTTTTGAAGAAGAAAGTAAGAGGCAAAAGTGAGGAAAATTCCACCGTTTTTTATTAGCAGACACTGCAAAATCAGAGTACATAACAACCTGCGGACTTCAATAAATGTCTGAATCACATAGTAAAAAAATTACGATTTGCATGAAAACATTATGATCTTTAATAAGCTGCCATTTTTAATTATCAGTTTGTTTTTGGGCCCATCAGGAGTCCGTTTCAATAAGGAGGTTCAACCAACTCTGAGTCAAAACGTGAGTTCTTGAGTTGATTTACCCTGAAAACCCTCATTTCAGGGTTAACATACTCAGAGTTTTCACTGAGCCTCCTTTCTGAAACGGGCCACAGCTCTCTGGGGTTTTTTTTCTGTTTAATTTTTATTCCTCTAATGAATAATACATCAAAATCCAGGGCAAATGGATAAACAGCGAGGAAAGAATGCATGAGGTTAAAAAGTCAATTTCCCCCAGCCATGTAGAATCAACTTAAAAACGTGTGAGGAAGAAGAATGGAGAGCATGTGGAAACTATTTAAGAAAACACTCACTGCATTCTCACAGAAACAATCACTGCAAATCTACAAGGTGCTCAGTATTTAGCTTCAGTTTGTGCTAAAGATTTGTACTGATACTTATAAAACCATTGATAAAAATATTTCTTTGTTAACAATATGCCTTAGAGGTTGGACAATGACACAACACTTAGGAGTGACGAGGAGTTGCAACGAGTTGTTGATGGGATGCAATAGTGCTACTCGGACTTTGCTTCCTTTGTTTCTTTTTGAGTCTTTGCGACCTTGAGAAAAATAAAGGGAGAATAATGAATTTTGCATGTCCATAACATATCCCAGAGTAACAGGATTTCATTACACAAAATCAAAAGTATAACAGACTCATTACAAAGATGCTGTGACTATACAGTTCTGTGTTGAATGCGTGATATGCAGCAGTGAAATTATAACACCGGCACCGCACTGACCTTCGCATCTCCATTTTCAGAGTGGTTTTCCTCGTTGGCTGCAGACTCTGAGGACTCCTTGGTCTTCATCTTGGTCTTTTTGTCCTCCTTTTTTACATTGACTGCTTTGTCTTTCTACAGGGGAAGTAAATGATTGGCAGCACATTGTGTTAACTAAATCCATAAACAAAAACTTATCCACTGAACATTTGCACACTTGTAAACTCCCTCGCATACATTAACAGTACTTTGTTAAAGTACTGAGACATTTTTCTAATGTTACAGTTTTATTGTTGGTTTGTTAGGTTTCTGTTTCTATTTACCTTAGCTGTCTTTTTTGATTTGGATTCAGCCTTCACAGGATCTGGTCTCTATAAATGAAAAAAGAAAAAAAAAAAAACAGCTAAGAACACATTCACCATTTTTGAGGCATTGTTCAAACTGAAATTATAAAACAAAGTTTAAAAGAAAAAGGTTGTAAAATGGAGAACAAAAAAAGTTAATTTGTTAAACATGAAGCCATATTCCTTTATTTAGTAAGTACAAAGATAAAATAGACAATAGACAAAGACAAAGATTTGTTAAATATGAAGCCATATTCCTTTATTTAGTAAGCACAAAGATAAAATCAAAAAGTGTTCAAAATGTGTCCTTTCCCTAACATAATTCCCTATGGCAAAATATATATTTTTAAGTTTAGAGTCATATTTTGATGAATGATTTATATATTTGTATTTGATTTGGCAGGAAATTTTACATTTACATCATCCACAAAACCGAGAAAATGTCTGGCTACTATGGTGGCAGTTAGAGTATGCTACTTATTTTGCTCAAATGATATATTGTTCAGAATCAGATCCCTTTTACGTGTTGTAGTGTATTGCCATTGGTGGAGAATGACAAATCTGCTCTGATATGGTGATCAGACAACTAGTGTATCAGCAAATGACCACAGAGAGGTCAAAACCTCAGTAGTGCACCTTTGACCAGTCTAGTTGGCATTTTTAAGCATAAACATATCACAAACAACATGGCAACATACGTACTGTCGATAACCGTGCAGATCTCCTCTTAGGCTGAAAAGAGTACAGAGATAAGTAAAATATTCTTATATAACTATAAATAAAGGAACACATTTCAATAAACAATCATATAAACCAACAAGTGGCATAAAAAGTTTAAATATATAAAATAAGTTCACCTCATCCTTTGCAACACCGTCTGCTCTCTGTGGATGACAAAAAAAGAGTTTAGCAAAACCTTTATGTAGAATTAAATGAAAATAATACAAATAATAATACATATTTAAAAATTACATTACTTTTATTATAATTTTACATTTGCACACATCCAAATGAAAGACCAATAATAAACATATCCAGTGGCCAGTATAAATAAACTCATTGGTTCAGCTCAACCATCCCTTATTAATAGCACAACCAACCCCTATATGTGAGCTGTGAGAGGAGGAGCTGACGACAGCGCCATCTTTCGGTACTTGAGCGCCATTACAGCCATCTGCTCACAAGAACAAAGACTATAAAATAATAACACTGTTATTGTCCATTTCAGTGCTTTCTCAATCTTAGTATTGTACAAGTCATTTTTAGTATAGGATGTTTCGTGATGGGTTTTTGTAAGAGTTTCTTCTTACACAGCATTGCTGACCCCACAGGAAACCAGCAAAACATAGCCTTCTTCAGCACGAACTCGCACATACCGTGTAAAATGTAGATATATGCTGTGCAGATTTCAGTGTTAAATATTTTAAAAATATGCAATTATATATATATATATATATCTATATATCAAAACAAATAATAAATAAACCACATAAATTTGGCTATATCGAGACCGAACAATGCCTCCATGATGTAGGCTTGTGTGTGTGTGTTTTGTGTGTGTGTGTGTGTGTGTGTGCGCGCGCGCAAGAACAAGAGGATACGCACCTTTCTTTTAGGCATGTTGTATTCCTAAAGAGATTCAGTAAAACACAATGAAAACAGCTGCTTTAGAGGAGAACTCGGCATATACGTCTTCAGCTCACTACACTTAACACAATAGTAAACACAGAAACATTAGCAAGGGACTGAATGGGATAAAGGGGGAGCTTAGGCGGGACTGATGTGTAGTTAAACCAATCAGCGCTGAGAGCCACATATGACAAAGATCTGAGCCGGTATCTCTGACAAATGTCGACAGTACCAGAGAAAGATTGAGAATATATGCACACTCCTCCAAGACTCAAATGTGCCTCTTCATTAGTTTACTTTTTACCGAGAAAGAATTACCCTTGTGCTTTTGCAATTTGATAGCACTTTTGCCTTTTATGTATAGTTCAAAATGGCGCCCTGGAATTGTGTCAGGTTAGTTTCTCAAGCCTGCAGATGACAGATTTGCGTACAGCAAAAAAAAAAAAAAAAAAAAAAAAGAGAGAGAGAGAGAGAGAGAGAGAGCTGCGTTCGCGGTTAGTGTAGACAGTCAGTTTAGTTGTTTAAGGGCGTTATAGTTTGCTCTGTCGCACTGTTGTGAAATAGCATGCGAAGCAACCAAACAGAACTTTTTATTCGGTGCAAATTGCTGCACAGTTCATACGTCATCACCGCTACTTATTTTGCAGCAAAAACATGAATTTAGAATAATATGTGTTTTTCCCACTAAACGCCAATATGATAGAACTCTTTAAATATGTTCTCGATAACATGATTCATATAACATAAGCAGAGGTAACGCTCTGAAATTGTTCAAACCGCACACACGGGCAGCACGGCGATGGCTTTGTGTAGTCATATGGCTGCTGTGACTTTCTCATATTCAGTGCTCGTTTCTCAGCTGAACATTTTACACCAGTCCTGTTTTCATTTGTATACTCCATGGAAAACTCATTCTAGTTCTTAGATCACTGATGAATTACTGATAAAGCAACGAGATGCAAGCCATGTTTTGCTGTAGGCTAGAGGCGGAGAACGAGGAGGGGTAAAAGAGAGAAGGGCAATAATGAGCACAGATCTTAGCCGGAATGAGCATTCTCATCGAGACAGACGGGAGTGAATGTGGATTTTTACATCGCGGTAGTGCCGTTAACCTTCCCCCGGAGATTGTTGTTTGCATCCTGTTAGTTTTAAGGAATTTGTGATTATGGTGATTAAAGTTTACATCGCATCATCCTCCGGATCAACATCGGTAAGAACTTAGACACAAGTTTAAACGAGAACATGCGACATTCTAAAGTTTTACCACTAAAGATAAACCAAAATACAACAACAATTGTTACCACAGTGAAGTCAATAAATTAATGAGGGATCAAACAGTGTAAGAAAAGTCCACAATATTTTTCCTTTTTTTCCTTCATTTTTTCCTTGAATTTTTATGATGTCGTTGATGACGCATTCAATTTGTTTTACATAGTGACAATGTGACACGAATAATACATTTGTGTGGAAATGATGTTTACCACGAAAATTATTCTATATTATTTTATTAAGTAAGCTATATTATATTATTATTATTTATTATTAGTCAGACTGAAAACATGTTATTGATTACTGAAACGCCAAATGCTGCTCTAAAGTGTTCGTTTGTTTTCGAGCAAGTTTAACAGAGAAAAACACAAAAGTTGAAGTTGTTAACCACTTCCTTATTGGTGTGCTAATCACCCCTGCTCGATTACTCAAAATACCAACGTGCATTAGACTAGATACTGGACCCAATGTCCCTGCCAGTTTCAATGAGTATGTTTTATTTGCATCTTAACTGTCGAAAAGTATTAAATAACAGTATTCACACCGTGACATGAGCACGCTAGAGGGGGCTATTCCTCCAGCAGGTGATTTGACTGGAGCACTTCCTAATTTGGTGAGTTTAGCGAAAACTTGTGCTCTAGATACGCTAAGTTATGTAACATTGGAATGACAGTGACACATCTCATGGTCTAGCTCATGCTCCAGCCACCAGTGACATGTGGGTTTTTCTTAAATGTGGAGGCAAATGCCACTGGTTTGTTTTTTGTTTGTTTATTTTTCAGTTCATTGCCAAATAATGTACCAATTTATTTTGATGTTGACACAGGGATACTCCACCCAAAATGAAAATTCTGTCATCATTTACTCACCCTCAAGTTGTTGCAAACCTGTATGAGTTTCTTTCTTCTGCTGAACACAAAGGAAGATATTTTGAAGAACTATTGAAGAAAAAAATACTATCACCCTTACAACAACTGTTTGGTTCCAATCATTCTTCAAAATATCTTCCTTTGTGTTTAGCAGAATAAACACATACAGGTTTCCAACAACTTGGGGGTGAGTAAATGCTGACAGAATGTTCATTTTTGGGTGGAGTATCCCTTTAAGTGTTACATTTCTTAGACTAACACCAAGCAGTTTGTGTAAATCCTTTTTCGGAGAAGCTCAGGTTTTGAGTATTTCATTTTTTCCAACATTAATTTCCCACATGTCAAGTACAATTATGTGGTTTTGTTTCATTAATACAGTGTATACTTTTTTTCTTGATTTACCTTGACAGAATGGAAGGGAAATACAAAATGCCACATAGTGGGAACTTTGTAATATGACAGCATAAAATGTAATTCAATCTTATATATATATATAAAAACAACTCTAAAATAAATAAATTTATTACAAAAAAAATAAAAATAAAAATTTCTCAATAAAATACAATTATAAACTTTTTCATATAAAATAATGGCATTTTTTTGAAATAATGAAAATAAAACTCATTTTTGAGTTTGATAACAAACACACTGCAAAAAAACAGCTATACAGCATAGTTCAAATCAATGATAATTAACCATTTCTGAACATTGACTGTCAGTCTTTATTCAATGTTTTCTCATGGTTTCTCAATAGAATTCATACAAGTATAGAATATAATAAAATAGTTGTAATACCTGCACAATTGGGATTGAGCAAAGCATTAAAGAACTGTATAAAGATTGGACATGAAAATAATATCAGATTTGTCTAATTTTAAATAAACACAAAAATATAGATGAAAAATTGACATAAGAGATTTACTTTTGCTATGCTTAAATAAATGTTCAGGCCTTTCTTCCAAAGATTTCTGAATTTTGGCACAATTTTTTCTCTATATATAGTGTTTATATGGCAACTATGGACAAATTTAAAACAAGTGTGTTACAGCTAGCCCCACGTTAGGTTGTGCCCCGCTGACCCCTATACCACAATGTCATGATGTATTTTTAAAATCACCAAGGGAATCACAGACCAGAAGCGACACGACCAGAGACAACGTTATCGGATTACATCATGTGTCATTCACCGATGAGAAAACTTTACAGTATGAGTGAAGGAAGACACAGAAGCATTAGATTGCATACATAAGTATGTGATTGTTAAATTACTCCAGTTCAGAAGTTGTTGTTGACAGAACCTGTTGACATAAAGTAAAGAATGCTCTGTATTTCAGCTTTATTCATATGTGATATCAGGACATAGTGGCAACACAGTCAAATCTCACTGAATTATCTGCATAGGGCAAAGTCCTAAAGGGCAAAGTACATAGAACTGTACTGTCAAACCTGAAATGTAGATACTTCCCGCTTGTTGCCGGTTCAGATTCAGAAGGAAAGTTAGGTTGTTCTTCATTCTAACTCTGTCTGCACAGCGTACGTGAAACGTGCTGATGGCGAATGATGTGTGCAGTGGCTTGCAAACACACGTTGACTGACACATGGTATCATCCCAGACAGCAAACTGACATTCAATCAATGTGGAAACGACGTCTCTCATGACATTGAAACAACGTTGATTTTGCTCATCGAATTAACGTTGAACCAACGTCAGACGCAGCATTCTTCAAAGCTAAATGAAAATCGAAAATTGGTTTGCTTTCATAACGTTGAAACAACGCGTTGATTTCAAGTTGATTTTCCGTTAGTTTTGAAAGAATGACGCGTCTGACGTTGGTTCAACGTTAATTCGATGAGCAAAACAATGTCAGATCAACGTTGTTTCGATGTCATATTTCCACGTTGATTCAATGTCAGTTTGCTATCTGGGATGGTATCATTTCATTCGGCCCTTGGGGTGGTGTTGATTGTTGGAATCCGTATCCACAAGTTTCCGAGGGGCGCTCCTGTAAAAAATAAAGTGGGTACAACTTCCGGTAAGGCGGCGGAAGTAGCATTCCAATGGTATTTTGTGTGTTATTTAGCAAAGAGGCTAGCTGTTTTTCGGATAATTATTTTACTATTTAAAGTCGCAAATCTTTATGAGAGATGTCGTTACGGAGCTCAGGGACAACATGTGCTGTTCGCGGTTGTACGTATAACCGGACTAAACTAATTAAGTGGCTTAAACGTGATTGTTTTGAACATAAGCCTTAAACGAAATCAGAGTGATCCTGCCAACGTCTGTAGTTTCCATCACCTCCCAAAAGACGACGAATCTTCCTGTGTACATTAGTTTAGATTCTTAATATTTTATAAACTCTCTCAGCATGTGATTGGCTGTTCGCTACTGATGTTACACCTAAACTCAGGATCAAAGCCTGAGTTGACAGATTCAGACAGAATACCACTGTTAAAGGGATACTCCACCAGGTTTTCATATTAAACTATGTTATTCCCTTAATTAAGACGAGCTGATGCATACCTCTCTCGTCTCAGTGCGTGCACTCTATCGCTCTGTATTGCCGCAAAACTATGTTAGCACTTAGCTTAGCCCAGTGCATTAAATATGGGCCAAAAAGAGAAGCGACCAAACACTTCC